GCTTCCTGTTAATGTGTACCCTGGGAGGCAGCAGGTGATGCCGCAAGTACTTGTGTACCTGTTACCCACATGGGAGATCCAGATTGAAATCCTGGCCTCAGCCTAGCCCAGCCCTGGTTATTGTAGGCATTTAAGGAGTGAACCAGAAGATGCTCTCTCTCTGTCTCTCTCTCTCGATATACATATGCATGTATCATATCTATCTATATATAGAGATAGATAGATAGATAGATGTATCTTATATATCTGCCTTTAAAAATGAATAAAATAAATAAATTTTAAAAACAAATCATGTGGGGAAAAAGGGACACTAACCCACTGTTGGTGGGAATGCAAACTGGTCAAGCCACTATGGAAGTCAGTCTGGAGATTCCTCAGAAATCTGAAGATAACCCTACCGTTCGACCCAGCCATCCCACTCCTTGGAATTTACCCAAAGGAATTTAAATTGGCAAACAAAAAAGCGGTCTGCAGCCTAATGTTTATTGCAGCTCAATTCACAATAGCTAAGACCTGGAACCGACCTAAATGCCCATCAACGGTAGACTGGATAAAGAAATTATGGGATATGTACTCTTTAGAATACTATACCGCAGTAAGAAAAAATGAAATCCAGTCATTTGCAACAAAATGGAGGAATCTGGAACACATCATGCTGAGTGAAATAAGCCAGTCCCAAAGGGACAAATACCATATGTTCTCCCTGATCGGTGACAACTGACTCAACACCAAAAAGGAAACCTCCTGAAGTGAAACGGACACTATGGGAAACGGTGACTTGATCAGCATAGCCCTGACTGTTAATGAACAACTTAATACATTATCCCTCTTAGTAGTTTTTTTGTCTGTTCTACTTAATATGACTGGTTTAATTCTGTAATTAATACACAGTTATTCTTAAGTGTTAAAAATTAACTGAAATGTGATCCCTGTTAAACATAAGAGTGGGAATAAGAGAGGGAAGAGATGTATAATTTGGGACATGCTCAAGCTGACTTGCCCCAAATGGTAGAGTTAAAAACATACCAGGGGATTCCAATTCAATCCCATCAAGGTGGCATGTACCAATGCCATCTCACTATTCCAAGTGATCAATTTCAGTTCACAATTGATCATAATGAAAGGACTAAGAGTCAAAGGGAGCACATAAACAAGTCTAGTACCTGCTAACACTAACCAATGGAATAAATAAAGGGGAGAGTGATCCAACATGGGAAGTGAGATACTCAGCAGACTCATAGAATGGCAGATGTCCTAAATAGCACTCTGGCCTCAGAATCAGCCCTAAAGGCATTCGGATCTGGCTGAAAAGCCCATGAGAGTATTTCAGGCATGGAAAGCCAAGACACTCTGGCAAAAGATCTCTGCGAGTGAGATCCCAGTGGAAAGAACAGGTCTTCAAAGAAGGAGGTACCTTTCTCTGAAGGGAGGAGAGAACCTCCACTTTGACTATGACCTTGTCTAAACAAGATAAGAATCGGAGAACTCAGAGGGCTTCCATAGTCTTGGAAACTCATGACTGGTGCATAGGGAGATTACTGATGCCATAGACAGGAGTGTCAATTGGTAAAGTCAACAACAGGAGTCACTGTGCACTTACTCCTCATGTAGGATCTCTGTCCTTAATGTGCTGTACATTGAGATTTAATGCTATAACGAGTACTCAAGCAATATATTTCACTTTCTGTTTCTATGGGGGTGCAAACTGTTGAAATCTTTACTTAATGTATACTAAACTGATCCTCTGTAAAAAAAAAAAAAATATATATATATATATATATTATCAACTCCCAACTTGACTCTCACTGGGATTAAACATGACAATAGATCTGATCTGATTTCATCATCATTTAAAAAAAATCATCTATTATTTTTCACTTTATGTTTCTGTGTGAGAGCAAACTGTTGAAATCCTTACTTAATGTATACTAAGCTGATCTTCTGTATATTAAGATAATCGAAAATGAATCTTGATGTGAATGGAAGGGGAGAGGGAGTGGGAAAGGGGAGGGTAGTGGGTGGGAGGGATGGTATGTGGGGGAAGCCATTGTAATCCATAAATCGTACTTTGGAAATTTATATTCATTATATAAAAGTTAAAAAAAAAGAAGAAAAAAAAAACAAATCATATATACTTTCTATAATAAGGTCAGTGTGTGTGTGTGTATGTGTGTGTGTTGACTCCTATTCCCATTAAGACTCCTAAACACTCACACAGGTACCTTCCATAGTCATCTCCACAAGTGTTGGCTGCTTGTTTTACCTCACGTCCTCCATGGAGCTTGTAAGCAATTTAACATGATTCATTTAGCACTAACCAAGACATGGGCAGCTCACAATTTTAAGCAGTCTGGGCAAGGCAAGGCAGAGCTCGACTTTCAAGCTTCGAGTGCAAACTGGGCTTTTCCTTCACTGATAAGGTAGTTAAGGTGCCACATGCTAATATTTGCCCAAAACTAGTTTGAATAGAAATCTGTGTGCCTTTTGAAGAAGTCACCTGTGAAAAGAGCAGTTTAAGCAAAAGTCAGGGGTCACATGCCCTCTGTATGGTTAGCCTAGGTTAAGTGCTCTGACACATTCAATAAGTCAGACTCAAGACTGTCATTTACTAAAGCCTGTGATCTTTGGGTTAATTTGTAAAACAGTGAGGAGAGAGAGTATCTATGGCACCTCCCATTTCCTGTGTGGCTTTGATTAACTCATTCATAAAATGGAGCTAATAATCTTGGGCTTACTGATATAGGAGTATTGAGAGAACCAAAGGAGTTAATAGGTATTAGAACATTATAAAACATTTCAAAAATCATTGCATGTTAAATAGGCATCATTTTAATTATTTTCTGGCACATTACAACATATAAATAAAATTATTCTTGTATTTCATGTGTTTTAAGTACACAGTTACTACTGTACCCTTTTCCTGCAATACATCTCTATATGCTCATTTCCCCTACACACACACACACACACACACATGCACACACACACATCACAAGCTGCTAATACATTTTTTCCCAACAAAAATTCTAAAGACAGCTTTAAATGATCAGAAACTGTAATTTTCCATAGACAATTGTAGTTCCTGGTAACAGAAAAAAAAAACATCCCTTTTTTCGCTTTCCATTCATTCAATCAAGGGCAGTGGCAGAATGTCCAATAATAATCTTCACTGAAATAACTATAAAAGATGAAAATTTACAGAAACTTAGAAGGAAATAGGGGAAAAAACTCCCCAGGGAAACTCTGCAAGAAAAATATCACCCAGCATTCCAAGGAATTAACATCCCATGAATTCCATTCTGTTTGTGGCTAAATGCACACACATAATGCAAGAGAACAGATTTTCATAATGAAATGTTTAAAATGTACTCGTTTTATTGTAAATAACCTAAGTGTAAGCATCAATCACTTTATATTTCTGATAGTAGAGGTTGTCTAAGAAAATAGTAGCAAGATTGCAAAGATTTTTGAGAGCTCAGTTCATTGTTTGAGTGAAAAAAATCTATGAGTCAACCTCCATAAAAATGTGAATGACAGGCATCTGTTAGCAAGTGCACTAATGAAACTTCAACAAGAATTGAAGTAGTGCATGATGTATTTCAAATGGTATTTATTACCTTCTAAACTGATTGTCACATATCACATTCATACAGGGTTTGTTTCCCATTTAAGTGTGGGAACAAAGAATCTAAAAATATTCTAATTTTATGAAAAGCTTATCCTTTGAGACAAGTTCCTCTGTAGGACCAGAGTTATAAAAACCAAACCAATGAAAACATTGATGACTCCAGTATCCTGATTGGGACCATAAAAAAACAGCAGGCATTCAGACAAAGATAAGGAAGTTGAGGTTAAAGGTGCTGCAGCTTCTGAAACAGGAAAATGCAAATACACATGTGTGCTTTCTTTTCAGAAACAGCTGTAAAAAAACGGTTCCTTAAAGGAATGAAATCACGTATTTCCAGTGTTTTTTAAGGTGCTTCCTCTACAACAAACAGTAGACAGGGCTCTCAGGTTTGTCCACAACGTACACATGGCCTTTAGTCCCTCTTCAGTCCTTGAGGCAAAGAACTTCCAGACATCTTTCTAAACACCCACAGGAGCATGAGCTACTCCATGCAGAGCTTTGTAAGTCTTGGTTTCCTGGTCATTTTTTTTTATTTCCATTAGGGAAATTCCTCTGTCCCAGAACTTCCTTGACTTTCTGCCTCCACATGTACTTCCAACAAGTGGTTTTCACTCAGCACCAGCTGAAAACCTCCAGGATGGGCTCACTGGAAATTTTTTGTACCAGGATAAGAATGAAATGAAGATAGCTGAACGGAGGCAGGAGGACAGCAAGTGGCCCCAAGGCAGGCTTTATTCCTACTGATGGTGTCCTTATTTTTATGCAGAACACTTGACTAAATTTTGTCCTTTAATTTGCCAGACTTTTTCCTCAGTTTCCAACCCTTTTTTGCTCTAGTCTCTAACCCAACATTCTTGATACCTGTTGAGCAGTCTTCAGCCTCTATCCTGGCCTTCCAACTGTCATTTTTCACATCGGAACTCAACATTCTATATGTCTGCCTTATGATATCAAAGTCCTGGTGTGACATGCCCCGGTCCTCCACTTGTCGTTTTGCTAGAAAAGGGTGTACAGCTTTTCACTAATCACTAATACGGTTCTAATAGTGGAAAGCAGAAAGAAAAAGGATTATTCTGATACCCACAGCAAGCAGCTGTGAAAAGAAGAAAAAGAAAAGAAAAAAAAATAGAAGAAAAAACTAACTCCTGGGCCTCAGCGCTCCAGAAGGCAGCCAGTCTTGCAAATATTTTTGCCACAATACTGAGCAAACCCACAACAGAAGAACAGATTTGCTGCCTGGCTACCTTGCAGGGAACAGGCCAGTGTTGGCACTCATTGGCAAAGCTGACCTTAAGGTTATGCGCTAAAACAGCGCAAGTGGTATCTTAGCTCTTCAGCTGCTGCTCACACCACCAGCAGACCTATTTTGTGTTCAATGAAGTCCTCTGGTCACACAAGATAAGCATGTACAACAAGCACAAAGTCCTACCACAGTTGATATCAGTGTTAAGAAGCGTGACTGGCGCTTATATTTGAGGGCTTTCTTCACTGTCTCATTTGACTGTTCAATGTAGTCCTGAGTTTGCAAAATGTTGTATTCAATGCTGTCCACAAACTCCTGCTGCTCTGAGATGAGCATCTCCAGTTGAAGGAAGATGATATGCAACTCACTGATCTGACACTCCAAGTCCAGAAGCTGCTGGTGACGCACCTGGACCAGAGCCAGGCCCTGCTTGGACTTGAAAATATCTAGATCATGACCCACAATTTGAGGAGCCACTGGGCTAGCTACCAGTTTCTCCAGGTCCTCCTCTCGCAACTTCAGGCCTGCTAGTTCAGCCTGCCTCAGCATCTTCTCCTTTAGCCGGACCACGTACTGAGTCTCGCAGGCATAGTGGTGGCTGATGATGCCACGGTAGCGGCCAAGGAGGACAGCGAGCTGGCTCTGGCGGATGCGGTGCTCAGCCCGCCTGTACTTACAGTCTGTGGTCAGCTCCTGCTGGATGGTGTTGAGCTGGGGCTGGATGAGCCGGGCTTGGCTGGTAAAAGAGGCTTTCATGATGCTCAAGTCATTCTTCTCCCTGAACACACTCTCCTCTGTAGTACAGCACAGCACACCTTGCTGCTTCTTGTCTATTGACACAGATAGCCCTTCCAGCTCTGTCAGTGCCAGGGACAACTCAGCCACTTCCTGGAAAAACTTCTCTATAGAGTTGGCCTCACTCTTCTCGAAAGCAGGGTTGTCAAATACCAAGGTGTCATCCAACTCCAAAGGGTCTCTGCCCGGGTGTACTTGGTTCTTCAGTTCCTCCAGTCTGTCCCTCATCTTTACGTGCAGCTTCTGGCCACATCTGTAATGGAAGGACTGGAAGCACGCACATCAGCTTTGTTCAGTGCTGTGGAGAGTCAGGAGCAGCTCAGTTTTGCGTCAGTGGAAGCTATTAAAAAATCTCTCCTTCCCAGGCAAGTAAATATTGACAGAGCCAATAGGCCGCTGCATTGTTGACTCAGTATCGGGTGGTAAGGCACACAGGATGGGCTAGACTGTATACCAGGAATAGGGCCAGGCACTGGCCTGATTTGTAAGACCTAGGGCAATACTACATTTGAGCTCCAGAGTGCAGGGCCAAGTGGCAACAAAGAGCAAGTCCAAAGTCTGGATAAGCCCCTGGAGGCATCATGCATGAGTTCAAAGAAAGTGATGACACAGTAAAGACAATGGTATTGAAAACTCTTCACTGAGAACTGTGATTTTTCTTACTTAAATTGGTAACTAAATCAATTCAGGAGTAGCATAGAACGACCATTTAGCTAGCTTTGGGACTCTGTGAGCTGCAGTTAAAAGAAAACATTATCATTTAATCAAAATGTCAGATGCCTCTGAGATCAGCCATATGCTTCTGCTTTTGTTTTGGTTTTAGCTACATATTTTAATTTAAAGACTGCCTGGTGGGGTCGGTGCTGTGGCGTAGCGGTAAAGACCCTGCTTGCAGTGCTGGCAACCCATATGGGCGCCGGTTCGAGACCTGGCTGCTCCACTTCCGATCCAGCTCTCTGCTATGGCCTAGGAAAGCAGTGGAAGATGGCCCTAGCCCTTGGGCCCCTGCACCCGCGTGGGAAACCTGCAAGAAGCTCCTGGTTCCTGGCTTCAGATCGGCGCAGCTCTGGCCATTGCGGACAATTGGGAGTGAACCAGAGGATGGAAGACACCTCTCTCTCTCTCTCTCTCTCTTTCTCTCTCTCTCTGTAACTCTGACTTTCAAGTAAATAAATATTTTTAAAAAGACTATATGGTTTCAAGTCCCAGCTCAACCACTTACTAGCTATATGATCTTGGACCGTATGAATAATCTCTTTGTGACTCCATTGCTGGGTAGCAAAATAAGGATAATAAGTGTACAAGGATACTTCAAAAAGTCCATGGAAAGATGGATTTAAAATGCAAGCTTATTGTGGTGCAAAAAAAATTGAAATCCAAGTATAGTTTTTTCATACTATGCATTTTTTGTGGACTTTTTTTGAAGACTCCCCATACTTTCCATAGGGATGTAGTAAGAATGAAAGTGCACACATGAAAAATGTGTTGAATAATGCTTGGCATAAAATTAGCACTATAATTTAATTGCTATTTGAATTATTTGCATGAAACAGCCACAAAGGCACTGACCAGAGAGGGATGAGATCAAGTTCTCAGTGAATGTTAAAGATGCTTACAACCAGGGGCTTCCAGCCAGGTGGGGTCAGACCTGGGAAAAGCTAGGAAGTGGGAAAATGTGTCCCTAGCTCCACCTCCTGTCCCAACACCCTTTCTCTTTCCATGCACCTGCCTTACTCTACTCGCACCCAGCATAAATTTTCCATCTTCAGATGTCCAGAGGTTGAGGGCATGACACTGCTTCCCTCTGTTCCCAATTTTTCCTACACTCTTACCTTTCCACAAAGTTACAAACCGTCAGAACTCAAAAATCAATAAGAACGATCCATTTCAGCTTCATTACTTCACCAGTGAGGAAATCAAGATCCATAAATGTAAAGTGACTTGCTCAAAGTCATATAGCTAGCTGACTGCACAGCTAGAACTGAAGAATGCAGATGTGGTGATCACAAACATACCCCATCCCTCCCCACCCCATTCTTTATTAAGATACAGTGCAAATGATTCCACACTGATATTGGCTACATTCTTGCTCCAGGTAACTTGCGGCCTTTATCAGCGCTACCAGGAGACACAGTAGCATGACATGAGAGAAAATTTCTAATGCTAGGAATTCCAGAGGATCTGCAAAGCAAGTGGGAACAAGGAGGATCATTTGGTAATTCTAAATACACATCACATGAGGGACTTTCCACGTGGTATATTTATGGGGGAGAAAGCATGAGATTGGAAAGTTATGATCCAGTTCAAAAGCTAAGGTTTTTCAATTAGAAAAGTCATTAAAATTGTGGCTGTCTTTATTGAGACCTTACCCGGTCTCAGAGAATCTGCTAAGATTGTCATATGTAGCTCTTCACTTAATCCTCATAAGAGATAGATCTGCGATTTGAGAATGACTGCTGTCTCCGTAGAGGAGAAAACTGAGGCCTAACTATTGGAATTGCAAATAAACAACAAATTATTTTAGCGTAAGTATGTTCTGTGCAATATTTGGACATATTTACACTAAGAATTCATTCATTGTTTATCTACAATTCAGATTTAACTGGGAGTCCTGTTGTTCTTCTGTAAACCCAACAACCCTACCAGAGGCTAGAAATCTTACACATTTTCTCTACTGCTGGGGAGCATCAGATGATTGATTCAAACCCAAAACTGTCTGACCCCAGAGCCCACACATTTATCTACTATGTAGCAATATATAAAACTTCATCAGAGGGCAAACTGGCAGTGTTATCCTGAAGGCAGTGATATTCTGAAAGCTACTGTCAGACTCACATACAAAAAAAAACCTACCATTCAGCAATCTCCTTTCCTTAAAGATAAGAGGTGGGGCAGGGCAGGCATTGTGGTGCACTGGGTTAAGCTACCGCCTACGAGGCCAAGATCCCAAATTGGCGCTGATTCAAGTCCCAGCTGCTCCACTTCCAATACATCTCCCGGCTATCACGCCTGGGAAAGCAGCAGAAGATGGCCTGGGTTTTTGGGCCCTGCCACCCACAAGGGAGGCTCGGATGGAGTTCCAGGGTCCTAGATTTAGAGGGCCATTGTGGCCATTTGGTAAGTAAACCAGCGGGTGGAAGATTCTCTCTTCCTCTCTCTCCCCACCCTCTCCCTCTGTCAAAACAAAATTAAAAAAAAATATTTAAAAAACAAGGATAAAAAGTAAGAAACCTGGCTGCTCCACTTCCGATCCAGCTCTCTGCTATGGCCTGGGAAAGCAGTAGAAGATGGCCCAAGTCCTTGGGCTCCTGCGCCCACGTGGGAGACCCGGAAGAAGCTCCTGGCTCCTGGCTTCAGATTGGCTCAGCTCTGTCTGGTAGGGCCATTTATGGAGTGAATCAGCAGATGGAAGACCTCTCTCTCTCTGCCTCTGCCTCTCTGTAACTGCCTTTCAACTAAAAAAAAATAAATCTTTAAAAAAAACTGAGTGGAGGACAAAAATAGATAACAGGAATAAATTACTAAATAAAGTAATAAAAATTAGGATGACCATTAAAAAATAAAACAATTGGAGATTTCTTAACAAAGTAAAAGTAGAACTACCATATGATTCAGCAATTACAGTTCTTGGTATATATCCAGCGAACTCAGTCTGTTAAAGAAACATCTGCGCTGCCACATTTATTTCAGTATTGTTCACACTAAGCAATAAATGGAAACAAGCTAAGCATCCATCAACTGATGAATAGATAAAGACGTGCTATATAAATACAATGGAATATTACTCTGCTGTGAAAAAGATGTAAATCTTGTCATTTGCAACAACATGGATGAATCTGAAGGATATTATGTTACAAAATATAAGCCAGACACAGAAATATGAATACTGGGGCCAGCATTGTGGTGCAGCAGGGTTAAGCTGCTGCCTGTGATGCCGGCATCCCATATGCATCCCAGCCATTCAACTTCCATCCCAGCTCCCTGCTAATGCGTCTGGGAAGACAGCAGAAGATGTCCCAAGTACTTGGGCCCCTGCCACCCGTATGGGAGAACCAGGAGGAGTTCTAAGCTCCTGATTTTGGCATAGCCCAGTTCTAGCCATTGAAGCCATTTGGGGAGTGAACCAACAGATGGCACATGTTTTTCTCTCTGTCTCTTTCTCTCTCTGTGTAACATTGCCTTTCAAATAAATAAATAATGATTTAAAAAAAAAAAAAACATGCAAACTGGGTAGTAAAAAATCATGCTGAGTGAAATAAGCCAGTCCCAAAGGGACAAATACCTTATGTTCTCCCTAATCGGTGACAACTAACCGAGCACCAAAAAGGAAACCTGTTAAAGTGAAATGAACACTATGAGAAACAGTAACTTGATCAGCCCTCGCCCTGACTGTTGATGAACAACTTAATACGTTATCCCTCTTAGTATTTTTTGTTTGTTTGTTCTACTTAATACTTTTGGTTGAATACTGTAATCAATACACAGTTATTCTCAAGTGTTGAAACTTAACTGAAAAGTGATTGCTGTTAAATATAAAAGTGGGAATAAGAGAGGGAAGAGATGTGCAATTCGGGACATGCTCAAGCTGACTTACCTCAAACGGTAGAGTTAGAAACATACCAGGGGATTCCAATTCAATCTCATCAAGGTGGCATGTACCAATGACATCTCACTACTCCCAGTGATCAATTTCTGTTCACAATTTATCATAATGATAGGACTAAGAGCCAAAGGGAGCACATAAACAAGACTAGTGTCTGCTAATACTAGCTGATAGAACAAAACAGGGAGAGAACGATCCAACATGGGAAGCGAGATACACAGCAGACCCATAGAATGGCAGATGTCCTAAACAGCACTCTGGCCTCAGAATCAGCCCTTAAGGCATGCGGATCTGGCTGAAAAGCCCATGAGAGTATTTCAGGCATGGAAAGCCAAGACACTCTGGCAAAAAAAAATGACCTAAATGAAAGATCTCCGTGAGTGAGATCCCAGTGGAAAGAACAGGTCATCAAAGAAGGAGGTACCTTTCTCTGAAGGGAGGAGAGAACTCCACTTTGACTACGACCTTGTCTAAATATGATCAGAGTTGGTGAACTCAAAAGGTTTCCATAGCCTTGGCAACTCATGACAAGAGCCTAGGGTGATTACTGATGCCATAAACAAGAGTGTCAATTTGTTAAGTCAACAACAGGAGTCACTGTGCAGGATCTCTGTCCTTAATGTGC